AAAATAAAACATACATTTTCATAATCAATCCATTCAGGGGAACAACATATTAAAAAATGGCACGAATCAGACCAGGTGTTCAAAAGTTAAGGGAAAGTCCTTTGTGACTAAATGAAGCATGGCTTTCCGGCCCAAACCAGTTTCAGAGTCTTCTATCCTGGAGATTGAATTGAGAAGTAATTCAATTATCTCCCAGGACAGACACAAGACTCCATTATGCACATGGTGAGCACAAAGCATTAAAATATTATAAAATACACAAAGTCACATTTTATACATAAAACACAGACATATCACATATCCCCAGATAGCTGGGATCTGAGCGCACAAAACTACCGAATAGCGCTCAGATCCTATTCACACAGTTCAATTGCCATGGAGCCGAAGTCTTTAACTACACGAATGGGCTCCATGGCATAGCTATCTGGGTTAATACATAAAGTCTGGTCCATAGTCCAAAGGCAAGAGGCAGGCAAGCAGCCCCCTCCAAGGACATGTGGCTAGGCCGGTTTCGCCACATTTCTCCCCTTTACCATCCAGACTAACAGGGTATCTGACCTACTGCCGGTCAGTGCCCTGGTTAGTCCAGCAACCCACCCACGAAGCACAAACAGCAATACAGCCCACCCACAATAACTGGTTACTACACCTGGATAAAATAGCAACTTGTCCATGTCCAGGTGCCTCACCACGGCTGTGCGGGGGGCTGGTAGACTGCCTTGGTGAGTTGCTGAGTGGGCAGAGACCAGCGGTACTCTGCCCGGGTGCCAGCACTACCACTGAAGTAGCCTGGTTGGAGCCTGGTTGTGGGAGGGGGAGACCGACTGTCTCCCCTCTGGATACACTGCTCTGTGGGTGGGGGACAGGACCGACCATCCCTACCCCTGGTGCTGCAAGTGCAGAGACTACGGTCCCATCTGCATAGTTGTGGGGCTGAACATCTCCCCTTGGTGGGTTAGGCTGCCGCTGGAGAGAGGGTGTAACAAGCTCCTCTCTCTGAACTGTAGACTGCCGCTGGGGAGAGGGGGTAACCTGCTCCTCTCCCTGACACTCTCTTTGCTGGTGGAGAGGGGGATCAACTGTCTCCCCTTTCAATATTTTGTCCTGCGGCTGGGGTGCGAGACAGACGGTCTCTGCTTCCTGGGGTACACACTGCCGCTGGGGAGGAAGGACGACACCTTTGGCTCCCTGGGATACACACTGCCGCTGGGGAGGAAGGACGGCACCTTCTGCTCCCTGGGATACACACTGCCGCTGGGGAGGGAGGACGGCACCTTCTGCTCCCTGGGACACACACTGCCGCTGGGGAGGAAGGATGGCACCTTCTGCTCCCTGGGGTACACACTGCCGCTGGGGAGGAAGGACGGCACCTTCTGCTCCCTGGGGTACACACTGCCGCTGGGGAGGAAGGACGACACCTTTGGCTCCCTGGCACTCACACTGCCGCTGGGGAGGAAGGACGGCACCTTCAGCTCCCTGGAGTACACACTGCCACTGGGGAGGAAGGACGGCACCTTCAGCTCCCTGGGATACACACTGCCGCTGGGGAGGAAGGAAGGCACCTTCAGCTCCCTGGGATACATACTGCCGCTGGGGAGGAAGGACGGCACCTTCAGCTCCCTGGGGTACACACTGCCGCTGGGGAGGAAGGACGGCACCTTCAGCTCCCTGGAATACACACTGCTGCTGGGGAGGAAGGACTGCACCTTTGGCTCCCTGGGACACACACTGCCGCTGGGGAGGAAGGACAACACCTTCTGCTCCCTGGGGTACACACTGCCGCTGGGGAGGAAGGACGACACCTTTGGCTCCCTGGGACTCCTTTTTGGCCAAATCTACTAGAGATTGCAGGTATTCTCCTACTAGTTTCCTGGCGAGCTGCACGGCTCTCTCTGGGGGGTTGCTGGACTAACCAGGGCACTGACCGGCAGGAGGTCAGATACCCTGTTAGTCTGGATGGTAAAGGGGAGAAATGTGGCGAAACCGGCCTCGCCACGTGTCCTTGGAGGGGGCTGCAGTTTAGAAATCATGTCCTGATTTTTCAGCTTTTGCCAGCTCCCACTCTAGCTTTGCCATTCATTCCTATGGGACAAATTTCGCCACAAGAACGACGATATTCCGTGAACCATTCGGCTAAACGTTCCACAAAGTAATAGCAATCCGATCGGGAACAATCTGCACGTTTTGGTAAATTTTTGTCTATGTAGTGTAAAAACTGTGGGAGGAGTTAGGGTGGCAAATTTTGCTATAATAAGAATAAGAATAACTAGAAAAGTTACAATTTCTGGTGAAATTGTGTGAAGTGTTCTTGCCTCCACCAGTAGTCTACAACTGGAGTGGGCGGAGTAACTGTTATACTTTATTTAGCACATTTAATTACAACATTGTTGCACAGTTACATTAAACCATACATTTATAAAAACGCTGGAACTTCTCATCTCCAAAGGTAAAAAAATATCAGTATTAATGTGTTCACTTTTATTTACTGAGTGTCAGGAAGCACAGAGTGCCATTGGGTAGGGGTGTTGCTGATTGGCTAGAGCGGTCAGCTGGCACTCTAAGCCAATCAGTAGCTCCCCATTCATAAAAAAGTAAAAATATTTTATGAACTAGCGATTGGCTTAGAGCGTCAACTGACCACTCTAGCCAATCAGCGGCACCCATGCCTGACGTCAATCTGCACTTCCTGACACTCTGTTTCAGAAGCCAAATACCACCGAGTGACCTGGAGCTGGAGGAAGCCTTTGGGGTTAAACCATTTGAGAGCGATTTAACCCCTTAAAGGAAAACGAGCACCCAGGGGCTTCCTGGCATCATAGCATTTTCATTTAGGTGAAGTT